GACAGTCTGCAACAAGGTGAGATTTAGCCTGTGCTACTTTCTATTAGCAAAATAAGCACCCAAACCAGGCACTCCATTTTATAAAAGTGTGTACGTGATAAAACCTAGATCTGGTTCAGACACATGCTTCTGCTGCTGTAACATCTAGTTTGCCCCTAAGATGAGTAACATGTTCTCTGAGCCCATCAGAGCAATCATCCACTAACTTTTTCTTATATTATTGCAGTTGTTAAATATTTCCTTTCCTTCTCACTTTTACAACATTGCCTATTCTTTCTTCAATTTCAGTTAAGCACACAAGAAAAAGTATGTACTGGGGAAATGCATAAACAAAGCAGGGACTAAAACACCCTACATTTAATTGTATAATAGTTGTCCAAATTATCTTTAGAACTATGGAAGCCTATTCATTATCTTCTGTAAAATGCCTTTTTATACAGAACCAGTACTATTTTATTACACAGCCTTGCTAAACCACAGTCCAAATTTCCACTGTCAAAATATGCACTTCTTTATTACTCTGCCATGTGATGGCTGTTCTCAAATCTCTTCATTGGCTTCCTACTCCCTTTTGCATTCAGCACAGTTCCACATTCTCCAGCCCATTACCATAGTTCTTCTAACAGTACCACCCTGAATGTTCCTGAAGTCTCCTGAAATGACTCAACCCATTCTCCCTTGCTCTACGTGTAGGACTGCATCTCACATATCCTTCAGATCCCAGCTCAAAGATACTAGCAAAATATTTTACTTCTGCCTACCTGCTCCATATTGCAAGTTAGAATTAAATGGATAGGGAAATTTGCTGTCATGAATGGCATTGGGAACATTACATAGAAACATAGAAACGGAGCGAGCCAGAAGGGACCTCCCGGGCCATCTTGTCTTACCTCCGGCACCAGCCGGCTCCGCTCATGACATGCCCACCATGTGGACATCCAGCCTATCTTTGAACACCCGCACCAATGGGGCCTCAACGACCTCTCGTGGAAGCCCATTCCACACCCTCGGGGTCCTGACTGTCAGGAAGTGCTTCCTGGCATCCAAATGGAACCTTGGCTCCCTTAGCTTTGCTCCATTGGAGCGTGTCCTGCCTTCCTCTGCAGGGGAGAACAGGTCTCTACCCATCTCCATGTGACATCCCCTCACATACCTGTATGTCGCCAACATATCCCCTCTGAGTTGCCTCTTCTCCAGGCTGAAGAGACCCAGTTCCCTCAGTCTCACCTCATACCCCATCCCCTTGTGGCCCTACACTGCACTGACTCCAACCTGGCTATATCCTTTCTGTAATGAGGGGCCCAAAACTGAACACAATACTCCAATTGCGGGCGCACCAGAGTCATGTAGAGTGGTAGTAATACCTCTCTTGATCTAGAAGCCACACTTCTGGCTATGCAACCAAGGGTGGCGTTCGCCCTCTTGACCACCGCATCACACTGCTGACTCATGTTTAGCCTGCAGGCAACCAGTAACCTGAGGTCCCTTTCACAAGTGATGCTCTCCAGCCACTTGTACCCTAGCCTGTACTTATGACAGCTATTCCTATGCCCCAAGTGCAAGACCTTGCACTTATCCACATTGAACGCCATCCTTTTGGCTCCTGCCCACTTCCATAGTCAGTCCAGATCCTTTTGGATCTGGAGTACCTGCTCCTCAGTTGTGGCCACTGCTCCAGTTTTAGTGTCGTCTGCAAATTTGATCAGCAGACTGTTCACCCCTTCTTCCATGTCGTTAATGAAAAGATTAAACAGGATCGGCCCCAGGACAGAGCCCTGGGGGACCCCACTTGTCACTGGCCGCCATCCCGATGATTCCCCACTAATGGTTACCTTCTGCTTTCGGTCAGTCATCCATGCCCTAATCCACCGGACAGTGCTTTGGTGTATCCCAAAACTCCTCAGTTTCTCCACCAGGATATTTTGGGGCACTTTGTCAAAGCCCTTGCTGAAATCCAGGTAAACCACATCCACTGCATCCCCTCCATCTAGCCATCTTGAAACCTTGTCATAGAATTCCACAAGGTTTGTCTGGCAGGACCTGTTTTTGCAGAAACCGTGTTGTGTGGCTGTCAGCCTCCCTTCCCTATCTAGCATCACTAGATCTCTCTATTATGAGCCTTTCCATTGTAGGAAAAACAATGGAAAGGC